TGAAACAGACTAATCTTCCCCATCCACCCCTTCTCCTTCTCTTCCACCGCCAGTTTTGGGGAAAATTTCGGTTGAATCTCTCGTACAACACGTTTTCACCGATCAGATCCTGCCGGAGCTTGGAAATCTTATGAATCTCGAAGTACTATGGTTGAAACAGACTAATCTGGTGGGTGGAATCCCAGAGTCACTAGGTCAACTCTGGAGGCTCACCGACTTGGATGTGGCTCTCAACGCGTTAACAGGTGGAATCCCAAGTTCTCTCACAGAGTTGAAGAGCGAGGTACAAATTGAGCTCTACAACAATTCATTGATCGGCGAGCTGCCGAGCACTGGATAGTCAAACATGATAGCCTTAAGGCTGCTAGATGCGTCATGAATGATTTGAGTGGGCTGATCTCGGTCGAGCTGTGCGAGTTGCCACTCGGGTCACTCAACCTGTAAGAGAACATATTCCAAGGTGAATTACCAGAAAGCATTGCCATTTCTCCTAATTTATATATGTTAATGCTCTTTTGGAACCTGCTAACTGGTAAATTACCCCCAAACATTCGAAAAACTCGCCTTTACAATGAATTGATGTTTCAATGAACGGGTTTTCAAGCGAAATGCCTGAGAATCTATGTTCAAAGGGTGCTCTTGAAGAGGTTTTAATGATTGAATTTTCTGACCAAATTCCCGCGGCTGTAGCAAAATGTCATAACTTATTGTGTGTAAGGTTCCGGCACAACAGACTTTTCGGCAAAGTTCCTGCTGGTTTTTAGGGTCTTCCTCACAATAGGGGTGGGGTGGATGGAGAAGAAGAAGATGGAATGAGTTTTTAATTTTAATTATATGATTTTTGTTATTTTATTATTAAAAAATGTAAAATTACCATTTTAACATTTTAAAAGCAGTCAAAATCAATTATTTGGTCAACTAACGATCAAACTAACAGAAACCATCCATTTGGACTTTAACTACGATATTTTGAAATGTTTGGTACCGTATATGGCACAAATGAAAGTTTGGTACAATGGGTAGTACAAATGAAAGGTTTGGGCAAAGTGTGCTACTAAATGAAAAGTTTGGTACCGCTGCTGCATTTAGCCCTAATTAATATAAAATCGAGAACCTTTGTGCTTAACTCGGTAGAACAACTCATTTGAAGGTCAAGTTACTCGTGCAACATAGATCCAACATGAAAAATATTATTTCTAGTATGTAAACTAAATTGGATTAAATTGCACCATAACACCCTGTTTGATCCATATTCTTACAAAAATTTCTTTTTCAAAACTCATTTTCAACTACACATTTTTCAATAAAATAATATTACACGTAAATTCAAAATTTTTCCTTTTTCTTAACCACATATTTTTCATCAAATCACTATTTAAAATGCATTCTCCACTTAATAATGTGCATTAAACATGGTCTAAATAATATTTGATTTTTTATTTTACTTAATACATTTTTAGTATCACACAGTCTATCCCGCCAAAGTAGTAATCTAGTTCTCAAAATAGAGCAAGTTGGGATGAACACTTTAGCCACTAATATAGCTAGCTCAATCGTTAAAACAAATGAAACGGGGTCGTCTAAGCAGGGACGGATTGGGGGGGGAGGAACTGGGCTAAGCTGTAGCCCGATCCAGTCCCCAGACAACTGATTTTTTTTAGGTAAATTTTTTTTCAAGTATTAGTTCGACTTGTAATCTGGTCATGGATCTATTCTTGCGTCTAAAAAAAAGCTATTTAAAATATTTTTAAATTCTTAATAAGTTCTCATTTGTTTAGAAGTTGGTGGGCTTGAGAAATTCTCATTAAGGGTTTCAATTCTTTTGTCCCCATTTGAGACTCATTTTCAAAGCATTTATTTTTTTACAAACACATTTTCAACCAAATGTTCTTCCACTTAAATAAGTAAATTCAAAACTTTTTTTTTTTTTTTTGCATTTAAGAAGATATTCTTTAAAAATATATATTCTTACGAAACTCATTTTTTACACGGAATGGGTCTCAAACATAATCTTAAAGTTGATCTTCAATTTGTTAATGTGAAATTTCTTAAATTTTGCGAATACTTATTTGAGCCCCATTTTCTTCAAAAAAATGCATTTTGTAGTAGTGTTATGATGAAGAATGTGTGGTTAATAAATAAGGAAAGATTTTGGATTTGTATGTAATAATATTTTATTAAAGAATGTGTGATTGAAATGAGATCAAATTATCATTCAAAAATACATTTTGATGAAAAAATTTGATGTGATCCAAGAAAGGCAACAAACTTACAAAGATCTGACTCAACTTGAAGAGAAACCAAAGACAAGATCAAGAGTTACGGAGGATCAAGGAGGTCATGAAATGAGTTATCCAAGATGCGGAGGCCAAGAGCTCGAGTGCAACAAACCAAATAACAACTTACATGTTGGATATGAAGGCGGAATCAAGTTGGGTGCGTTGGATTCAAGATTTACGAAAAAAAAAAAGTAGCGTAGATGAAAACGTGCATAACTTTCAGTTCGGGTGTCGAATTTTCATCCATGAGTACAATCTAAAAAGGCACAAAATTCTGCACAAAGAAAAAGAGGATTCAAAATTAAAGCTGTGACCGCATAGCTTAAAATGGTTGCGGATTTGGACGCGAATTTTTCGAAATTTCGCGCAATCTTCTATTATGTTAAAATTCTATTCTTGATATCTTTTTTAATATTTTAGACTTTATTTCCGTTTAGACTAGGGTTACATGGGTTCCATATAAATAGGACCATTATTTCATTGTTGACACAATTATTGAGATTATTATCGCGAGACTAAATTGCTTTCTTCTCGTTCTTGATTATTTTAATTTTGAACTCATTAAGAATTAAGTTATTGTGGCATTCTACAAATTCAAAGTAAGGTTCATAAGTTTTGTGATCACGGGTCAAGATATTGTTAGCAGTTGTCTTGGTTCTTGGTTCAATAATTTATTGGGTCGAACTTTTCAAATGTTCATTCTTGGCTTTCTTGGGTTGTTCTAATTTGTTGTGGGTTCCGTAGTTACAATTGTTACTTGGGTTCAGATCAGTTGGTGTTAGAGTTTAAGCTCCAGAATCAAGGTTACATCATTTTCCTTTTTTCATTTGAGTCTTTATTTCCTTTTTCTTGCATTCTTCGTGTTATTCTATTTAAATCTTTGATCCGTAATTTTTTCGTCAAAAAATTCAAAAGTTGTTTTTGTGCTCATTTTGTATTCAAATCAACTTCTGTTTTCTTTGTCGGTTTCATAGTTGAATTTCAAGTAAAAAATTTTGAAAAAGATTTAGAAAATTCCGAAAAAAATTCAGAAAATTAGAAAAAGTATATTTGTTATTATTTATCTCGGAAATTGCCGGCTAATTACGTTATCTATTGTGTAAAATTCAGGAACCACTTTCTTGAATTCAAATTGCATTAAAATCATTCAATTCAATTTATTTTCTTTCTTGAGTATTCAAATTTCAAAAAATCTCACTCAAAACTCGGTTTGAATTCTACGAGAATAATTTCGATTGAATTAATTCTTTGAAACACTTGCAAGAAAGCATTGAGTGGAAAAAGGCGGAGTGGAGAGACTGATAAAGGGAAAAGGCCAATTTCAGTGATACACGACCGTATATACGTGAGGCAAATATCAAAATAGATTTAGGATGTTTGACAGGGACAGTCCTACTTCAAACCGGAAGGATAACCAAGTCAACATGTCGGATGAGGTGATAGGTAGTTCGAAAGGTTGTTTGAGGATGTGAGAGACATATTGGATAGGCAAGATACATTGCTTGCTAATTTACGTCAAGAATGATCTAGAGATATTCCTAACACAAGGAGACAAGGAAGGTGGAACTATAGAGCGGAATATGCTGGTGATTGGGAAGCGGAAAGTAATATTAATGAGGATGCATTGATGGATGTCGAGTTAGAAAGAATGAGGGATAGAGGAGTTAGGCATGAAAGGAAGGTTAGAGATCTTGTTGGAGATGGTATTGATAGGAGTATGGGCAACATCAAGATGACAAATCATTCATATAAAGGAAGGAGTGATCCGGAGGCATAATTGAAGTAGGAAAAGAAAGTGGAATTGATATTTGATTATCGCAACTACTCAGAGGAAAAGAAGGTAAAAATTGTGGTACTTGAATTTACCGATTATGCTATTATTTGGTGGGATTAAGTAGTAATATCTAGGATGAGAAACCATGAGAGGCCTATTAACACTTGAGGAGAATTGAAGGCTATCATGAGGAAGAGGTTTGTGCCTGATCATTATTATCGGGAGATTCATCAAAAATTACAAAGCCTCTATCAAGGTTCTAGGAATGTGGAGGATTATCACAAGGAGATGAAGATTGCGATGATTTTTAAATGGTTTGAATAGGGATATAGCTAACGTGGTAGAGTTGCAGTATTATGTAGGGTTGGAAGACATGCTACATGTAGATATAAAGGTGGAAAGGCAATTGAAGAGGAAGGGGACAACAAGGTACTCATCGGGTGCTTCGGATTCCAACCCATCCTTGAAACAGAAGTGGGACAACAACAAAGGAGATGAGGCTGTTTCTAAGGGTAAAATTGAATTGCCAAAAGAAAAGGAAGAAAATGCTAGCAAGAAAATGGAATCTCAGCCATCAAGGAATTGAGACATCAAATGATTAAGGTGTTTGAGGTCGGGGCTTATCGCTTCTTAATGTCCAAACAAAAGAGCGATGATTTTGCAGGACAACGATAAGGTTGTGAGTGGAAGTGAGAGTGATTATGAAGGCATGTCAGAATTGGATGAGGCTAGTGATGGAGGCAGAGTGGAATATGTTGTGGCGAGCTATTGGTCACGAAGCGAGCTCTTAACACTCAAATCAAGGCGGATGAGTAGCAGCAGCAAAGAGAAAATATTTTTCATACACGGTGCCACATCAATAATAAGGTATGTAGCATGATCATTGATGTTGGGAGTTGTACAAATGTAGCTAGCACTAATTCGGAGGAAAAATTGGAATTAACTATGCTTAAACACCCTAGGCCCTATAGGTTACAATGGTTGAATGAATATGGGAAAGTTAAGATGAATAGAAGGGTGTTAATAAATTTTTTAATTGGTAGTTATCATGACGAAGTATTGTGTGACGTAGTACCTATGCATACGGGTCATATCTCGTTAGGAAGACCATGGCAATTCGATAGGAAGGTGATACGTGATGGTTACAAAAATAGGTACAGCTTTATTAAGGACGGAAAATCTACTACTCTTGCCCTGTTAACACCACAGCAAGTGTATGTAGATCAACTTAAATTGGGGAGTGGGGAAGAGAAAAGAGTGAGAAAAAAAAGTGTAAGATTGAACTTTCACAACAAGAAAGCAAGAAAGAAAATAATGAGGTGGCTAAGAGTGAGAAAAAAAAGAGAGTAGAGTGACAAGAGAGTGAAGAAGAAGATAAAGAGGTGGCTAAAAAATTAGTAGAACCACAAGAGATAAAAGAAATAGAGAGTGAAAAGGATAATACAACGATAGCAAAAGGAAAAGTGGAGCAACAAGAGGGAAAAGAAAGAGATTCTTCAGAGAGAAAAGAAAAGTCAAAAGTGAGCTTATATAAAAAAGAGAGTGAAATTGAGAGGGCTTTAGTGAGAACTAACAAATCCTCCCTAGTTTGGATATTTCTGTCTTGTAAGATTTCGAAGACTTGGTCCATGAGAACAAGCCTATTGGGATACCACCCAATCCGAGCATTGAGCATCAACTTGTGGTTGAAACTAACCAACCCCATCATAGTTTAGTTATTTCTTTATTACGGAAGGTTGAAAATGTGTTCCCTAAGGAAACAAAGGAGCTTCAAGGGCAATGGAATGAGTTCATATGCAGGGTGTTGAATGCCAAAAGGGATATGAATGGAAACATGAGTTCATGTGCAGTGTCATTGCTACTAGTACCTAGGAAGGATGAGACATGGAGGATGCACGATGACTCACCTACGGTAAGGTATCATCATTCCGTACATAGGTTAGATGATGGTCTAGTATGTAGGAATAATTTTTTACTTGGAGCATGTAATTTTAACCTCACAACTACACCTAAATTAGATGATATACTTGATGATTTGCATGTGTCATGTGTTGTGAACTCGATTATAAGATTAACTATGAAATTTATAAGTGGTTAGTTAGGTCATTTGAACTCACTTGTCAATCTAATATTTTCATGGGATTAAATAATCGTTTATTGCGTGCATTCATAGGAAAATTTTTACTGGTTTGTGATAATCTAGTATATCGTAAGGGTCTATGTATGCTTGTTAAATTGAGAGGTCACATGTTACGTGATGATACCATAGTATGTGGTAAGGATATAGCTGTGCATGATAAATATTTGAGATATATTGATCTTAATCTACATAACTACTTGTGGATGGGATGTATTACGAACTAATTTGATAGCTTCTACTACTTCTTACACATGTTTTGATATGGTTTATGGTTTTAATCCTCTAATTTTGTCGGGTTTAATCGCTTTAACTATTGATGTAAGTGGTAGCTTAGATGGAAAATATGAGATTGTTCTTGAAATGTCTCAAACTTGCAAAATGGCGCATTTGAGGCGTGTATGATTTGATCCAAGTGATGGTGATTGGTTGTACATACGAAAGAGGCGAATACGAACTCAAATGAGGTCCAAACTACACCCTAGAGGAGATGGACCATTCCATGTCATTGCCATGATTGAGAACAATGGCTACAACTTGGACTTTCTGGGTAAGTATATTATAATTCTATCATCGAAGTTTCTAGTGTTGCTTCGTTTGACGCAGGTACGAATTCGAGGTCGAATCCTTTTGAAGAGGGGGGATGATGTAATCCAAGAAAAACAACAAACTTACAAAGATCCGGCTCAACTTGAAGAGAAACCAAAGATAAAACCAAGAGTTACGGAAGATCAAGGAAGCCATAGAATGAGTTATCCAAGATGCGAAGGCCAAGAGCTCGAGTGCAACAAACCAAATAACAACTTACATGTTGGACATGAAGGTGGAATCAAGTTGGGTGCTTTGGATTTAAGATTTATGAAAAAAAATGAGTAGCGTGGAGGAAAACGTGCATAACTTTCAGTTCCGGTATCGAATTTTCGTCCATGAGTACAATCCGAAAACGGCACGAAATTCTGCACAAAGAAAAAGAGGATTCAAAATTAAAGTTATGTGACCGCATAGCTTAAAATGGTTGCGGATCTGGACGTGAATTTTTCCAAATTTCGCGTAATCATCTATTATGTTAAAATTATATTCTTGGTATCTTTTGTAATCTTTTAGACTTTATTTCCGTTTAGACTAAGGTTGCATGGGTTCCATATAAATAGGACATATTATTTCGTTGTTGACACAATTATTGTGATTATTATCACGAGGCTAAATTGTTTTCTTCTCGTTCTTCATTATTTTAATTTTGAACTTATCAAGAATTAAATTCTAGTGGTATCCTACAAATTCAAATTAAGGTTCATCAATTTTGTGATCACAGATCAAGATATTGTTGCAATTGTCTTGGTTCTTGGTTCAATAATTTACTGGGCCAAACTTTTCAAAAGCTGATTCTTGACTTTCTTGGATTGTTCTAATTTGTCGTGGGTTCCGTAACTATAATTGCTACGTGGGTTCGCATCAAAATGGGACTCGAACAATGGCCAAAGTATAAAGCTTACTTGAAATCCAAGACATTCAAAATCTACATAAAAGCCCAAAAGCGCACGCAAGAAAAGAACTCGAAAGTAAAAGTGTGAAATAGAACATCACAGAAGATACCTCCACTTTCATTTATATTTACCAAACCAACCACCCTTGTAATTGATAGACGATTCAGTCCTCACCCCTATATATTCCTATTCCTATAATTCTCCCCCATCACAATTTACACAACGCACAAAATTCTTCTCAGAGAAAAAATTCCGAACCCTCTTTGATTAGGCAAAAAATAAATTTTCATTAATTTGAAAATGTCCAGACCTGATCAAGAAGCAATTGATACTTTCATGAGCATCACTGGTGTATCTGAGGCCGCTGCTATTCAGAAACTCGAGGTAATTTTTACTGTAAAATCGCCGCTTAAAAATACTGGATTAATGTTATTTTAGCTGCTTTTAATTTAATTTTATTTCAATTCAGTTTTATTTTATTTATTTTAAGGGTTTGGATGTAATTTGCGGGCGTTAGTTGATTGTACTATAGTGTATTAACTTAGCTGATTAAGGGGGAAAAAATCTGATGAGAAATTTTTTTTTTTTTGGAGTTGGAGGAAGTTGCTTCATAATTTTTAAGGGTAAATAAATGTCATGTGGTCAGTTCTTCAATTGGTGTTTGTTATATAGATTGGATTGGATATAAGGAATTAAAATAGCCATTATGCACACTTTGAGCTATGCTTATTGTTAAAAAGAGTGCAAATTATAGTAGAATGGATGGACTAAAAGCATGAAATCCGTAATTCATATTGAAGTAATCTCTTTCAATTCACTCCATTGTGCTCATATTTTGTTCTTTCAATTACAAATTTAGGTCATGCTTTAGAAATTGTGGTGAGCATGTCACTTTTAATGAAATGCATAATGTGAGACACTAGAAGCAAGAAAAATTTGGATAAGGTTTGTGAGAACTACTTGGAATTTTCCAGTTGTAACTTCTTGATAATTTCTGTGTTGTAAGTTGTTGGTGTCTAATTGTTAACTACATTCTCTAAAAGCTTAAGTTGTTATTGATGGGCCACATTTATACACTTAATTCTCGTCTACAACACACCCCCTCACATGCAAACCATAATTTCTCGATCAAAAGTCACGTGTATTTAATTTTTTTGTAAACAGGCAGCAGTTTCCTGTTTCTAATTCCATTATTATTTCATCTAAAAACTTAAGAGAGTTTAGAGAGGAGCTATGTATATTCATTTGAATCTTGTCTTCAACAATTATCAACGATTCAAATTTCCACACCAACAAATTACCCGAAGATCTGATTTTTAAAATGTGCATAGTATGTATGGTGTTGTTGTGGTGCCTAGTTTGTGCCTTGAAGACAAAGAGAAATCATAGAGGAAGGAGAGAAGTCCATCGACCTATATTTTCTACCAGATTAGGGTTATGCATACTTGCTATAGTTATTATCTTTTATTTGATTTCTCTGCAGTTTCTAAAAGAAGAGGGAAAATGCTAAAAATTTACATTGAAATTACCCCATTTTTCCTTCAAATCTTGCTCCACATTTATTTTAGTTTTTAATGACTTAAAAGTAATTTCAGATGGTTGCGGTGGAACACCATTCCTTGTTAAAATACTCTATCCTTGATAAATTCTTATTCAATCCATAGTTAAATATGTTGGTATTGTTGCAGACGGTGAAAAATATTTAATAGTAATTTTTATTGGACCTGGGTATCAAACATAGCTGCTATTACATGACCCAGAAGAAAGAAAGTCTTGTCTATCATTTGTCTAGTTAACTATGCAACTGTTGAATTTACAAACTTTCAAGATCAGCGCTTGAGGAACTTAACATCTGAAAATACTGCTTCTGACTTCTTTAATATTTATCCACATTCTTCTTTCCACTTCTTCCATCTGCTCCTAACGAGGTAATGATACTTGTTTTGTTGCACAGGAGCATCATGGCAACCTGAATGAGGCTGTCAATTCACATTTCAGTGAAGGAGATAGAAACATGTTGGCATTTTTCCAGTCCTTTTGGATCTTTCTTTTCTCTTCTTCATTCCCTTTAAGTACATACGATTACTTTTATATCTGAACATCTTCCATTACGTTATTGTTTCTGTTTTCAGAACGCAAGATGCAACTTTTGCTGCTCCTCGGGATGATGTTATGGATATAGATGACCCCATTCTGGCTGAATCACGCAGACCTTTTCCACTATTACCCTCTGCTAGAGATCTGAATCCATTTTCTTTACATGATCCCTACTTCACCAGAACTGTAAATGATAGAGGTTCTGGTTTTGGTAATCGTGCATCTTTTGTTTCACATCCAAGAGAGGTGAGGGAGATCCCAATTGAAGTGAAGGATGGGAATGGACCTTCTGACCAGTCTGGTTCTGCTCCTGTAATTGAAGATGTCACTGAAACGGCACATCAAGGACCAGAAGTCCGTGGGACTGTCACAGTAGACGACGACGACGACGACGATGAAGATTATGTACCAGATGAACCAATTGCACGTGCTTCTAGGCACAGAGAACGAAATAGCTCAACGCGTCGTGGACCAAATGCTCCCTCTATTGTTGATGTTCCCGACTACAACAATGATATAGAAGAAGAAATGATCCGAGCTGCCATCGAGGCTTCCAAACAGGATGCTGGAATGTTAAATCAACAATATGATGATCAACTTGTATGTGATACAGTTTCAATGTACGAGTTTTTGGCCTGGACTGTGATTTTTAACTATTGAAACATGTCGATCTGATACAGGATATTAGGAATCCCACTCATCAGCCTAGGCAGTCTCGCCTAGAAGATCCTGAGCTTGCACATGCAGTTTCTATATCATTGAAGGTACGCTTCTCTGCTCTTTGGCGACAATCGTGAATCTTTGTTGTTGCTTCAATTAACATGAAGTGAATTCAGACAGCAGAGCAAGAGAAAGTGCAGCAAGAACTGGAAGGAAAAGTTGGAGGGTCAAAACGGGAAGATCAGAAATCAGCTGAGGTGGAGGAATTGGGCAAATTAACATCCTCAACTCCAAGGTATATGGCTCTCTTTGACTGCAATGTCTTGATAATATTCTCTCACTTGTAATTATTCTGAATATCTCTTCCCCTCCTATGTTCCCATTTCTCATGGATCTTCAAACATACCTGTTGGGTATTTTGATTATATTCTGACAAAATATCTGTAGGCAACCTTGGTTGGAGGTTGGAAGTTCATCCATTCAAGATGAAGCAGAAGATGCAGATGAGCATCCACTAGTTAGGCATGGGAGGAGACAATCACAAGTGTCTTCGGGTTCTGCTGACACTACTACCCAAAATATCAAAGAAATAGATGTTAGCCCACCATCAAGTCCTAGACAGCATGACAGCATTCGTCATATGCAGCACAATGGAAGTGACTTCCCCTCTGATGAGGTAACATCTTTTTTCTTGATTCACGTATTTTAACTTTATATGATATTTGAGAAACTAAAATTGACTGTTTTATACATTTCAAATACTGATAACATATGCTTCCTATGTACATTTGTTTAAAGTGGGGTGGCATCTCATCCGAGGAACATGATGAAGCAGTAATGCTCGAGGCTGCAATGTTTGGTGGCGTTCCTGAAGGAAGCGGATATCATGTCCCTTATGTACCTCATCAACTCATGCAGAATGGTTTAGATAGACCTATTGGTCCTTACCCGAGGCATATGCCTCGTCCTCCATCTCCTTCTCTTACTGCTCAGCGATTGATACGGGAACAGCAGGTTCACATTATGTACTTACAGTAGAGGTAGATCAGTCTCTCCTTGATTTTGACCTATGATTGCATGCAGGATGATGAGTATCTTGCTTCATTACAAGTTGACAGAGAGAAGGAATTGAAGGCCCAGGAAGAAGCTGAAGCTGCTCTTGCAGAAGAGAAGCGCAAGGAGGGGGAATTGCGAAGAAAAATGGAAGAGGAACAGGTAACTGCTCAGAAAATTTAGAACGCGTATAGAGGGCACCTATCCTTGTCTTTGATTGAACTGTGTCTCATTAATAAGTTTTATATCTGGTCAGCATTTTTCTTGCAAAGTTTGTTAGGTTTATTATTGACCATAGCTCTCGATGCTATGTTTTGTCTTTATGGAGTTAGTTTGAGACGAACAAAAACACATTGGAGGAACTTTATCCAGAGACTTCTAACGGATTGGACTATTGCTAATAACTAATTTAAGACCATAACCACATGGATCATGGAGAGAACTCATGTCCTGCCGTTGTCAAGAAGACCAAAATAACCATAACTAGGAGAACATTAGACATCCCAATTAAAAAAAATTCACTAGGTTACTAGCATAACTGAAAGTATAAAATTCAGCCTAAACTTGTTTCGGATTGCTACAAATCCTGCCATATATTAAGTACCTATTTCCTCTTCTTATTAAGCAAACATATCTTAATATTCTTACATTTGATAAAACTTGCCCTCGGGTCTTTTTAGTTTTGCAAAATTTCAAGTCTTAACTGTTTGTGCTTCCTTGCATGACGCACGAGACTTTCAATCTTGGGCTTTTATTTTCATCTCAAAAAGTCCATAGGAACAAGCAAATAAACAATGACCCAATCGTAGCTTGCATTCAAGCTCTTCTATTAGGGAGATTGTGATTCCATTCTAAAAATTCTTCAAAATGACATGAAATTGGATCAGTGTTTCAATACACACGTTTTATCACTTGCCAGGAAATTGAGAGAGAATTAGCAGCAAAAGAAGCTTCCCTCCCTCAGGAACCAACATCAGATGATGAGAATGCTGTTACTCTTCTTGTGCGAATGCCTGATGGCAGTAGGAGAGGTCGGAGATTTCTCAAGTCAGACAAGCTTCAGGTATAGATGTGGTCAACATTTGATTTGCAACAATCCAGTGGTTTATGATCTGACTTGAGTTAATTGTTGTTTATTTGCAGTATCTTTTTGACTTCATTGATGTTGGCAGAGGGATCAAACCTGGCAGTTACAGATTGGTAAAATTCTTTCATTCCCTTCTTATCCTGCACCATCTGGTATGCTTTTCCGTTAATTTTTAAGCAGACTACCTTGCGCTGATATCCGTAGGCGCCAAAATCTCTTGACGAAGTGGCCCCACCTCCCACCCCAAAAAAAAGAGAGATAAAAAGAGTTACACAAGCATGTTTGGCTAAGTTTTAAAACTTTACTTATAAGCAAATAAGTAAATTTTAAATGACCTTAATTTTGGTGATCTAAATTTGAATGACTAAGCCCTTGTTTGGCCCACATTATAATGAGAAATTGGGAAAATTGTATTTTGGAATAGTAATTTTTTTTAAAAATGTGGTTAAAAAAGATAAAAAAGTTTTGGATTTACGTATAAATATTCTTTTATTGGAGAATGTGTGGTTGATAAAAAGAGAGAGAAAAATGAATTATAATTTTAATAGGGGCCAAACAAGGCTAAGTTACTTCTTCGACAGTGAGATAAGAGTTAATTTCAAAATTAAAAAAAATTCTTTATTATGAGAAGTAATTAATCTCCGGACATCCACGGTTATCAAAAAAAGAAGTAATTAATCTAAAATTCTTTAGGGAAAAAAAAAGTTGCTTAAATGCTTGTGATTGTGTTTATGAATGACTTGTGTTGTGGAAAGCCTCTCTTGAAATCTGTAGATAATTAATCTTAATTTACCAAAGGCATTTGCAATTGAGATGAGAGAGAATTTCAAAATTAAGTAAATTCTTTATTATGAGGAGTAATTAATCTAAACTTCTTTAGAAACAAAAAAGATGCTTAAATGCTTGTGATCGTGTTTGTGAATGACTTGTGTTGTGGAAGAGCCTCTCTTGAAATCTGTAGATAATTAATCTTAATTTACCAAAGGCCTTTGCAATTGAGATAGAATCTGATTTCGTTCATCTGATATGCCGCCACATAAACAAATATTTTAATCGGCTTTCCTTCATCGGAGATGCACATCACATAAATAAATGGGAAATGTTTTTTACTAGTCATTTTTTTTTTGGGGGGGGGGGGGGCGCTGCTAGATTGACAAGAATGCGTAGATGGATTCAAATTTGTGCAGAAAAAAGGAGAGTATCTAAAGAGACTAGAAATTCTTAACTTTTGTCAAGTTTGACAAGAATGCTTAGATCATTTGAAACTTGTGCAAATAGGAATTATTGAACCTTTTAGACTAATAACAAATGACGTAGCAGCAACTATGTGAACCGGATTGGGATCTATCACTTATTTGACAAGAATGTTTAGATAGTTCGAAATTCGTGCAAAAGGGGAGNGCAGCAACTATGTGAACCGGATTGGGATCTATCACTTATTTGACAAGAATGTTTAGATAGTTCGAAATTCGTGCAAAAGGGGAGAATTAGGCAACACTTTTGAAGACAGAAGGGGAAATGTTCTCTGAATTTTCTTTTATTTATTAAAGATAAACATAAATATGGGTAAATGAAATAGGGTGAATACCATATAGTGATGTGTTTCAGCTATTCTGACTGTTCAAAACGGTTTTCCCATGTGCAGGTGAGGCCGTACCCTCGACGTGCTTTTAGTGATGGAGAGCGTAACTCGACTCTCAGCGAATTGGGTTTGACCAGCAAGCAAGAAGCCTTGTTTCTGGAGTCAATATAGCATGTTTATCTTGTGAACTTGTTAGAAAACCAAACCATAGGTTAAAATCTTCTATTCTAAGGTCGGGATTGTGGTTTGTTGTTTTGCTCAGGATGGACTATGACATGATTGATGAAGATAATTGGGCATACCTGTCACTACCAAAAATTATGTCCATGGCGTCCCGATGTTTCTGGGGGAATGATCTTTATATCAAGAAAATATTTGATTGGTACGTTGGAAACCTATTAGACTGCACTTGAAAGTCCTGCTTCTCCAAAATTGGATTCATTTTAATGCGTATGCCTGGAAGAGTGATCGGAAGGGTGTTTTGCACGTTTTGCTGTGTTCTATTGTATTCTGCACTTTTGAGTAGTGGTTTGCTTGTGATTTTGCCTCTGTTGAAATAATACTCATTTAGGTTCAATAGGTGTTAGAAAGTTATCTAATACAAAACGACACATTTGGTATTTCTTTTTTTAACAGTCGATTTCTAAATTCTCAGTGGGCCTATCTTGAGGTCTTGACTCTTGAGTTACAATGAAAAATGTTTAGTGCATAATGGTCCGTAGGATTGGAAAGTATAGTTAACGAGGTTTTAGTTTTTTTTTTTTTTTTTTTTTCAGTATTGTTCAATTTACATTATCAAGCATGTCACTTGGTTAAGGGAAAAGGGTATACTGAAGACGATTTTTTCTCTTATTATAGAGTTCGCTTTGTTTGTGTCTACTAAAAATAGTAATTTTAATCATAAATTTCTAATTATTATTTATTTTTTATTTTAAAAAATAAGTTTTTATTTTATTTTTTCAAGGAATGTCTTTTTTGAAATGATTTTTTATTTTATTTTATTTTTCTAAGTAACTATTTTTAAATAAGTTTTTATTTTTTTTTAAAATAAGTTTTATTTTAATTTTATTAAAAGTTATTTTATATATATAATGCAAAGTTTTCATTTTACCTTTCTTAAAATTAATGAAAATGGTGAAAAATAGTTTGATGGTCATGGATAAATGTTATATAAAATTAAGTGACCATGGTGAAAAGTTATATAAAATTAGATGACCATTGTGAAATAAAATCAAATTGAGTGACCATGGTGACACTGGTATAAAGTTGGGTGGTCATTGGTGGATTTAACCCTGCAACTGAAGATACGTTTGTTTACGACTCAAATCTTGATACCAATCCATAACGATCAAAGTCTAAATGTATCCACAACTATCAAAGTCTAATTGTGAACCTATTAATATTGTATTCAGAAAAATATAATGTCAATAAGCCTTGTTTGAGCCTTATATTGTCAAAAATTCATTTTTCTCAAAATTCATTTTCAACCACACATTTTTCAAAAAAAAAATGATAATTTTACATGTACGTCGAAAAAAAAATTTATTTTTTAACCGCATAATCTTAAACAAACAAAAAAATAAACACTATTTTTCAAAATACATTTTTTTCCCCGTAATGAGCTCAAACAAGGGCTAACTCTTTATTTGGTGGGAATTTAAACCAAAATTTTAATCTAAGTCAAGTCAATAATTAATTTTAATCACATATTTTATGAGATGCACAACTTTTCGACCACATATTACATCAATTTTTATCAAAATCTACTAAAAATCTGATTTTTTTAATATCCACCAAATAAAGGCTAGCAATCTTTTTGGTGTAAAATCATTATTTCATCATTTTGGTTGAATTCTGTCCCTAGCTAGAATTCAACTTTCTAATGGATTCTTGATTGGACATTAGTCCTACAAATACAATGCATGTTGTTAGCATAATCTCTCCGAATATGCAATTGAGTACAGTGGCTAAATCTCATTTTTCTATAAAATTGATTTACTTTTAGAGCTTGTTTGGGAGAGATTTTTAGGAAAAAAATTGATTTTGAATAGTGATATGATGAGAAATGTGTGGTTGAAAATGAGAATTGATTTACTGTAGAAAAATTTAATCCCTTCCAAACAGGGCCTTATTCTTTTCACCTGGCTTGGGAGCACTAGGCGTGCTCCAGCATCACCATGTAATTATTGGAACTAGTGTATGAGGTCGAATGACGTATGACATTACCGAGAATTGCAGATGGTATGATTGCATATCGACATGACTAGACGAGGCGTCGAAGATGATAGCAATTGTGATAAGTTGCTTTCCCTACTTCAATAGAAATGGAGAATCACCCAATTAATGCCCCTTTTTTGTAAATGATCTTTCAAACGCAAGATGCATTTCTTACCAACTTTCATCAAAATTAAGTACTAGATAGAAGAAACCATTAACAAGGAGTACCATTTATTCCTGCCTCTTACAAGGTATGGAATTTGACTCTTTGTAGATATCAGTATATCAGCTCTTGTACCCTGACCTGCTGAGACACATCCTGCGATTTACCTCCTCCACAATGCTCTAGGTAAGGGACGGGACGGGACCCTCAAGGTTGAGGTTCAACCTTTACTATACATACTTGTAATCACAATCAAATTAATTTACCGCAAAAATCATCATTATTGGCATAATCTCAAATAAATTAGCCATGTATGATATGCCTTTTATTTTTTTAACCAAATGCAATCCTAATCGGTTTAATTAGCCCGTAATTGACAAACTAATCATAAACAACTAATATAAGTAATTATTCTTAGTTCTTAATCTCTAACCTTATCCATTAAACAACAACAATAGTACACTTGACCACGAATGACATACCCCACCAGTAGTAGATGTAAGGATTGATGCATAAAATAACTTTTTATTTGATTGAAAACCATATAAAGCACATTATATTTTAGTCACTTGTATGTAATAAGACATGCATTATAAATTTTATAAATTCTCAAATCAAATAAAATAAATTTTATCATGGCATAAAAATCATAATCAGAATCGGTACAATTAAAATCTTCAGACTTTTAGACCTGTTCATTATTAAACACAAAACTGGCAACCCAATTCTCTTGCCTTTCCAAATTCAAACTCGATGTTTGTACATGCCCACCAGGACGACAGGAAAAGTGGTAGAGCTGTGATCTTTGCACCAATAAGCCCACCAAAATATGCTTGTACGGTCGCAATAAAACTACTAATGTTACTCGCTTCCTTGCTCTGCAGGACGTCGATATGGCATGTATCTGTGGTCTTTTGCAGCATTCTTCCTCCTCCTTTTGTCAAGAAAAGACTCGAGTTTGCCAGCCCCCTAACAGATCACACAAGTATGTGTTATTTGATATGAACATTATAATTACAGACAGCATTTATAAGCATATAGTGAGAATTGCTACTACCTTGAGTTCCTCGTACTTCTGGATAAGCTTTTGCTTCCTAATATCAGCTGCAAGGCAGAAAGATTATGCAATTTAATCAACACATGATTGGACTGTTCTCAGGTTATTTGTGTATTTGTATCGTCTTCTTCCAATTTGCTATTTGTTAGTGTGTTTCGAATACTTTTATCATATTACAATGAAAACAGATGGATGGTGATCAGGAAAAAAGGAATGGCGATTTATTCAAGAAAGCAAAACAAGAGCAACTGAAAAAATGTGAACATAATCGACTGATGCATTTATGTTCTCACAATTGAGAGCAGAAGCAGGACGAGAAAAAAATAGGGAGGGGAACAGTTTACATTTTTTCAGATAATAAGGTCGTTTCCCTTTCTTTGCAGCTTCTCTCTCTTTCTTCTTGTGCTCGGATATAATTTCCTTATCGGTACGCTTTGTTCCTCTAGACTTCGATTCTCTATCCTGGCAAGTGAGAGAATTCAGAAGAATCGTGAACACAAGAATCAGATAAGGCACGAGCAGACACATTAAGGAATATGAATCTGTGCAGCAATGACAATGGCTTTGACTAGATTAAGCACCAAATTGTCTCCTTTTAGAACAAGTCAAAATTTCATTACGGAAACTGTATCATTGCTTCCCAACAACCAAGTTGTCCCCGACCTTTCATTAATCAGTCCACATTGACAGAAACGGTCTAATTTAAATCTTCTTCAAATCGTAATGTAGCCCTCGTGGAAACATGCCACACGTCAAAAATTTTGGATACCAGTCCAAGCCAGGAAACAAACCTAGCTTCTTAAAGTCAGACATGTGAAGCCCATATGACAATTCAACAAAGATTTGGATGGCATCTATCATAGAGGATTGATGAACAGTCATAGGGAAAGATTGAGGACCAACTTCTACTAGGGCAATAAGTTAGGGACCAATGGACAATTTCCCCAGTTGATTAAGGTCAAAAGGGACAAACATATACACACTATCTCTCAGAGTCTAAAGGAATCCAGCTGAATATCTGGTTTTGGAAGCCATTCATAGTAAAAGCACTTACCATCTGAGCTATACGATTCTTAAGCTCATTTATGACTTCTGGGTCTTTTTCTTCTTTCATCTTTTTCTTTAGTGCCTACAGATGCAAAAAAGAGTAATCAAGATGGTAGAAGCAGACATAAAAGTAATATTATATAATTTAAAATACAGATTTGCTACCTCTTTTTCAGCAGGCAATTCATTCTTATAGATAAAATCATATCTCTTCTTAAACCTGCACATCCAGGGCATAAGTCATACAATAAAAATCCGAGCTGTACCACAGGATAAATACTTTGAAAATCAGGTGGTAACAAGAAATTCTTCTTTTCCAAGTCCAGCAAAGCTCACAGACACTAATGGCATACTGAGCAACCAGACAGCAGAAACAGCTCCCTTGTGCATTTACCTTCACCTGTCAACTATTGTAAAATGTTTGCTGGACGGGAATAACATTGAAGTGGTGGCAGAAAGCAAATAGAAAGAAAAATAAATGAGCCCACTAATTTTAAACATCCATTCGGATAAGAATTTGCGCTTTCGTCAGTATTTGAGGTATTACTGGAGGCAATGGCGAAGGGATTCAATAGGTTTGTCTACTTGTCTTAGTGCAACCCTACTAATCAAATTGAAGCTTTCACATAGGTACTATTCTTGAGTGATTAACAAAGAATGTAGAGAAAATTGGCAGAGCATCAAAGCTCCTTATGACGTGCCCAAGGCCAATGAACTTGAGAACCATTCAACAAAAAGAGGATGTGTATCTTATTGCTCTGCAGGCGCATGACCATATATCAGGGACAAAGATTGTGAGGTTTGCACACTTGCCAGAGTTCATTATTGTCCATCCTTTTTAAGAACCAAAGATGATGTACAAGCCTCTACCTTTGAACGATCCTTTAGATTTGAAATAAATTAAAAGGAAAAATGGAACAAATGTTGATTTAAGAAGGTAGGAGAAAAAAGATCAGAAAAAAATTAACAAGATTTATGGATTAAGCTTTTAACGCAAACTAGCATTCTTTTTCAAAAGGCAAAAGTTTCGTAGATCTATGCCTCTATTCTACTATCAATATCAAATACGGGTGAACCATCAAATATATATGGATCATAATCATATCAATCAAAAATTGTTATGTGTGTGCAGATGTGCAAGTATGCATTGGCACACAGGTAGACAAAGGTAGGGGTCTGAGGAAAGGAAGCTTACCTTTCTAAATCTAGTTCGCCGCACAATAATTCAAAACGAGGATCACGCGCCACCTGAAATAAAGTGCAAAGCAATTTAAAGCAGAGCGATTTTGCCAAGACAGGATAAAAGAATTCAGAAAATGATGAAGCCACAGCATAAGTAATTCTTGCTTTGCTAATTTCATCTAAAGATGATTAGAATGTGCATTAAACAAAGTTGTTGATCATAGCATACAAACTTAAAAGTTTAGCCAAAAAAGAATATTTGCAAATCCACATCATACTCATTTAACTCGTAAGCTGAGAATTCTAGACAAAAAGATCTTTAGCAAGAACAAGTGACAATGTAACTATAAAATAAACAAATCAGTAAATAAACAAAATACAAGAAGAAACATAATTCTTATCAATATGCAAGTAAAACTACCAACAGGGCATAAAGTGGTTCTGGTATAGAGCAAGTAGATTCTAGGTTCTCAAGAAAGTCACACAAAAAAACTGTAAAGTCACAATATTCCGCTTTTACATTCTCAAGTGTCTGTGATATAGAATACAAACGTTTTGCGAGGGTCTACCAATTGCATGACAAATCAAAATACTAAAATTCTACTAGTTGCATGTTGGTCTAGTGGCATCCGTGGGATTTTCCCACGTTCATGGTGACGGTTCAAATCCCACCCAACCCATTCCCCCCTCCCCCTCCCCACATTGTACTCAAAAATAATAATAAAAGAAAATAAAACCCACTTTTTTAGGAACTTGGACGACTTCTCTTAATCTGCTCACCGGCTTCTTACTGCTCATCTCCATAGGCCTTGACAATTAACGTAAAAAAAATTTAGCAAAATAATATCACGAAAGTCAAAATATTTCAAACAATCATGACAAGAAAAAAAACCTGTTCTTATTTGCTCGGCTGCTCGTTTTCTCTGAGTTGGGCTTCCTGTACACCATCTCTGATCCATCAGACCGCGCTCTCAGCAGCTCTTCGAATGTCACATCAGCAAGCTCCCTCTCAATCTCCTCCTCCTATTCAAATTAAATGATAAGAACATTATAAGCTACATTTAATAGGAAATACATGGAGGTTCTATATAGGAATCACTAGAAAATCCAAAGTTTCAGAAAAATTGTATAAATTTTAGGTCAATTATTAAATAATTTGATAAATAAAGATTTTATATCCACTCTTCAGAATATCAAATAGAAAATATAGTAACTTGAGTTTAATCTTTAGGGAGAATATAAAATATTATTTTGTTAGGTAATGTAAACAGAAGAATCCTCATTCAATATATTTTAAAGTGGATTGACTTCAATTCATATTATTAACGCAACATGTAACCGAAATCATTAATTTGATACTCGAAAGGAGTCATGTTACGAACTTGATTCCGATCCTTCAAACTTGTGTGTACTAGTAGCATCCTTTACAAAAGGATCATGTTGGGATGAACATTTAATGGCCATAAAAAATAAAAAATAAAAATTTGAAATTTTCTATTGTAGGTAGTTCTAGCAATATTGTTGATTACTACCAATTTCAGCTTCAAGCAAATGAAGACTTAAACAAAACAAACACACAAGATAAGCATGGAAATTGGAATGTACAGAACATGGACTTGCGAGCAACTGTACGTGCACACAGATTTTCTAGTTATAATTTTGCGTGCACGCCCATACTAATAGCTAAATGGTTGAAATAACAAGATCTGTAGGCTACAAGACTAATAATAGAGTCACTCGAAACAATCGCAGGGGGGAGATATAGCCAGATTGTTGCAAGAATACATACATCTTCGGAAGATTCATGGCTGTCCGCATCATCGAATCTGATTGTATTCGAAGTTCCAATTGCAGGCTCAGGTTTCTTCATTTCAATTCTTCAAACCGAGAACTACACGCCCTGAAATCAGAATTGTAATTTTTCCTCAAACAAAACTTGGCAAGGTGAAAAACTTAAAACGACAAACAGCTAAACTTTTGATGATAATTTGTAGTAGTGGGCATGGTCCAGTTTCGTTCGATTTGTGGGCAAACTGGTTCAAAATGAGAATTATACTCATGGAACCAACAAGGGCAAGAGCCACCAGGGGTCTAGTGGGGTTGCCCCACAGGATTTTGGTCCTGTGTAATTCATCAATTACACTTGAGGAACAGCAGGTCCTAAAGGCAGGAAGAAAACCCTAAACAACCACATCAAAAATAGCTGTGGATTCCCATCAAGAAACAACAATTTTGGGGAAAAGTAGATAATTTTTAAGAAGCTAGAAGTGAGAATGATGAAAATGCTGGACAGAATTTTAGGTTGTGTTGAAATTAAATCACTCACAACAATAAAATCGAATTTCATTCCAAGTTCGGTGATGAATAAAATGAATTATTCTTGTAGAAATCACTGCAACGCAAAATCGTTTGGTGCCAAGGGAAACCCTTAGGGCCTGCTTGCCAGTTTTTTTTCCCTGATTTTAATTGTTTTTGGAATAACACTCTTTACGAGAGGTTGGGAAAACCGGTGACTGTTAGTTTTCTGGGGCATTGTATGGAAATTTGAGTTGTATTTCTCAACCCATCAAATTGGTGGTTTGTGGCCTTCTTCAAATTTTCTTCAAATTTTATCTTCTATAACAATTATTTCCAAATTTACCCTAAGATTGAATGAAGTTTGGTCAAATTTCTAGGACCAATGTTCTATAATCAAACAGCTTCAATAATACTGTTCATAATTCATCATAAAATGGCACTTAATTAATTATTCATTTAGGCCAAATAACATAAAGACAATGTGGGATTGAACGACGTGAACCCAGCACCTCGTATACTTTTGTTTCTTTCACAGCCTTATAATGTGTTCTTGATATTTTATGAGTTTCAGAAACCATATCAAGATTACTTAAAGCCAACGGAAAAGATGAGCAAATATCATTATAAAATAAAACAAAAATATAATTACATTTTAATAGGTAACGTAAAAATAACATCATGTTTCAAGTTTCAGCAGATAATCTAACTGTATAATTCAGTGCTATAAAAATCATCAGTTCAAATTGCAAAAGCTCAATTCAATTGTACAACGAATAAACACCAAAAATTCTTAAACTATTTGTAACTTTAGAAATTTGATGTCAATACCTATAGATTTTAAAATAGGGGTTAAGGTCTAAAAATGAAACAGAAAAATAGGATGATCATGTCCTTCACAATATAAAGAAACCCTCGCCTTCCATGAACACAACACAATCAACTAACCATTATAAGCGAATAAACATACACATAAACATTACACACATGAACATACTTACACAGAAGGAAAAAGATTATATATATATATGAAATTGTTAAGAAAAAACACTACTCCTGACTTTGATATCAAAATTCACAAATGCAGAATTAATTAACAACATAAAATTTGATTAATTAACTTACGAACGTCAATCTTCCACCAAACTATCCACAATATTTCGACGAGGTTCCGATCAAGTGAATGAATGAAGGTGCAGGGTTTATGTTTTGGCGATTTCTCTTCTTTATCGAGATTAAAATTACAAGAGACCCCCCTCATATTTATAATATTATAAAAACCACCCATATTAGAATGAATTTTTAATTTTGCTATTTTTTCTTATGCTAAGCCCTGTTTGGCTTAACCAAAAAAATGATAAAAATTTAAGTCAAATGTAATAATTAATTTTAATCACACATTTTATAAGATCGCAGTTTTTATTAGCTACAAATTTTATCAAAATTTAATAGAAATATGATTTTTTGCAAACCAAGGGATAAATATAAAACTCTCTGGGTCTGTTTGATATGCAAATGTGAAAATGAATTATAATTTTATGTTAGTTGGAAAATAAAAATCCATCAAATTTATAGGAATTCGTTTTTTATGAAAACAAAGAAGATGCAGTTTAAAGTGGTTGTACTTTGAAATTCGATTTCCATTTTCACGTTGCAATCAAATGGTTAAAATGGAATTCGTTTTCCTCGAATGTGACATTTTTCATGAAATTTGTTGCAATCAAACATGGCATATATAACATAATTATATTCATTTTTCTTCATCTTATGATCCAACAAAAAAATGAATTTTTTGTTCATTTTTCTAAAAATTGAATTTTTTGAAAGCACATTTTCAATCACATTCTTAATAAAAAATTTGTACAAGTAAATCGAAATTGTTTCTTATTTTGTAACCATACATTCACAAGAAAATCACTATTTCAAAACACATTTTTTTCCCCTTAAAATAAGGCTCAAACAAGTGCTGAATTTTTGGGAAAATGAATTTTAATAGTGATTTTTTGGAAAATTTGTGATTAAAGAGTCAAAAAAAGAAAAAAAAAATTAGTTTACGTGCATTTTAATGTGATTGAAGATGAGTTTGAGTAAAAAATAGTTTTATTTTAATGATTGTCGAACATGGGCTTAAATAAATATGTTTACATATTTTTATATATGTGGACATATATGTAGTTTATTTTTATTTTTTAAAATCGGAATAAACTTTCAAGGTCGCTAATATAATTGTACTATATTAAAAAATGATCATATAATATAATTAAATTAGTAAAGAAAAATTTTGGATTTACATGCAAAAATATTTTTATTTGAAGAATTTGTTGTTAAAAATGAGTAAGGGTAAAATAAATATTCAGATAATGGAGATCAAATATAGGTTTAATAAAGTCGATTATGGTGCTTTAATTACCAACTAGCAACCTCCGAAAAGAATTGTCTTCTTCAATATCTAATGCACAAAAGCGAATATATATATATAATCAATTTTTAAATAAAATTTCAAAATATTCGTGTAAAATGAAAGGAAAAAAACTCGCCACATCAAGTGAAAAGAACCCATTTACGGAAGAAATATATTTATGTTTTCCAACAATAATTGTGACACTTTATCGAATAAAGGCCGTTCGACCCTCATTATTTTTCATTAAATTATAATTCATTTTTCTCTTTCTTTTTATCAATCACACAATATCCAATACAATAATATTACAAGTAAATCCAAAAAAAAATCCTTCTACTTTAATCACACAATCTTTAAAAAAATATATAATTTTTTCCTTTATAATTTAAAATAATGAAGGCTAAACAAGCGCAAAAAGTACACTATAATATAGGATCTCATGATTTCTCCTGCATGCAGATGAATCTCCTAATCATTATATTCTTGAATCTCAAGGAAGTCATGATTCTATATTTATGAATATTTTTTCAATTATTTAAATTACCGCGGGTGACACTCTCTTTGAATCTATATACTTTGTAGCAACGTAAAAAATATATTATTAAATAGTTAATAATGAAATAATAATATAGTGTTATAAATGTATAAATTAATGCCCGAAATTTCACATGTTAAATTTTGATTTATTTCGTAAATCACTATCAACTTTTAATATATCCAATTCCAAAATAGTTAAATATTCGAAATATTAGATTACAAATAATCGAATAATAATTTCATATTTTATACACTTTTTAAAATTATTAGGTGCAAGTAACGTGCAATGCACGTTTGCGTTGTTTATATTTAATAGTTTTGTTTAAGAATTAATTTGTTATTAATAAAGATGTAATTTTTTGGTTAATTAAATAATTAATGATGTGATGTTTATGTAATTGATAAATAATTGAATGTGGCTGAATCAAAGTTGTAGCTAGATTAGTTAACTTTCCAACGCATTTTGAATCGCCTCAATCGGATATCGGAATACAAAGTTATGATAAAAATACTGAAGGAAGGTGCAGCTGTCTGTTTAAAACAAGAAATTCCGTTACATAGTCCGTTATATTGAGACCTATTTTTGGCATATAAAGTGGTCGAATTGGAGAATGATGTCTGAACCAAAGTTGTAACCAAATGAGATAAACTAAATTGTAAGGGATCCAAAGTTTGGGGACTAAAATGTAAATACTTAAAAGTTGTACCGAACTTCATGATGAAGATTTGAGAGTGTTCGGAGTCAATTGGATAAAGGAAGACGTCAATGGAATCAAATTTAGGCAAAACATGATCACAAATCAATTTCCAACCGAAAAGTTATGCTCCGATATTTTAGTCTCATATTGAGACCTTTTTTGGCATAGAAGTGATCGAATTGGAGAATGATGACTGAATCAAAGTTGTAGCTAGATTAGTTAACTTTCCAACGCATTTTGAATCGCCTCAATCGAATATCGGAATACAAAGTTATGATAAAAATACTGAAAGAATGTGCAGCTGCCTATTTAAAACAAGAAATTCCATTACATAATCCGTTAAAACAACAAATTCCATTAGTTTTTCCGTTAAAAACAAAAAATTCCGTTACATAACCACTTTTAATAAATAGAAGATATTTCTTTGATGAAGAATATATTATCTTTTTTCACATTTAACTAAAAAGAATTACATTTTTTTTCTAAAATTACTCATACTCTTACAACCAAATAAATAAATTAAATATCTTTAGTTTTCAGCAATAAAAATTTATGGCAAAATTATCCAAAATCCTACATATAAAGACTAATATTCATAATAAAGTGCATTAGTTATAATTTCACATATTAGATGGTAATTAAATTATAATAAATTAATTAATAAAATTTTAATACAATAACTGTATATCACCCAAATCTAATAAACGTGGCCAAGCCATCCACCCCTCAAACCCTCAACAATTTCCTCCCTTCTCTCTCTATCACAACGGAGCAAAGGCACCACTATAAAATAATCGACGTTGTAAGAGGACCGATGTCGCTGCGAGAGAAGCGGCGCCATTGCCAAACTATACTTAGGAGCTACGCAACATCAACGTTGCTGAACACCATTTTCCACCGTCCTCTTCGCGTTGCAGTTCTCCAACGCCATTCTCCACT